TGAAGCAGTCCTGTGTTCAGCCTTAGTACCCAAATCTCTGGTCAAATATCACTTCTCTCGGAACTTTCTGACTACTGGAGGTTATGAACAATTAGAGGTTATGAACTTTACTTCCATAGTGTTTTTCATTTACTCTTTCACATTGCCAAGGTATAACATGCCCTGTATTTTAATTGCCCCAAATTTTGTTAATGAAAGTCATAGTGTTGTGTTTGCCAAGTCTAGCAAGGATCAGAAATTTTTTTAAAGCAATACATTTAGACTATATGAGCATTATGATTTTTTTTTTTTTTTGCATTTTTAGGAAAGAACACTGAATATAGGTTTGGAAAAATTGAGGAATTTTAAAAGCCAAAAGGCAAAAAGAAAAAAAGTATAAAATATGTAGACAGCAGCACAAATAAGAGAACTGATAATTATGAATGAAGTCAGTACAAATTAGAGGTTTACTAGATTCCAAGTATTTTGGAAAATATGGACATAGCTAACTACTTTTTAAGAGAGGGATTTTTGCTATAGGGTACGTGTGTTCACCAGAGAGACAGATAAAAAGTGAGAAATCTCCCCATGGGGGTAGGGTCACACCTCAATCCCTTCCTCCATTCTCCTCTCGGGACTTTTGGGCACACACGCAAGCCCCCAGAACTGAGTTTTAAGCCACCGGTCTGGGACTCGAACTGTGGTCAACTATGTGGGAGTCCAGCGACATAACCATTATGCCATCTGCTGGTCCCAGACATAACTAATTTCTATATTTTAAAAACTATTTTACAATCTAGTGTCCCTCTTCTGTAAGAACTTAAATGTGGAGTAAAATAAACTTATTTTCTAGAAAAATAAATGAATAAATACAAGTTCTCTTCTGGGTATATCCAGGTTGAGATACTGCTTGACACTCATATAGAGTCACCTTCTGGGTATATCCAGGTTGAGATACTGCTTTACATTCATATAGTCATTCATTCTTTCTTTCAGCAAACGCTGATGAGCACGACTGCTTGTGTAGGAGTGAGAACTCGCGTAGTGCAGACTGCCCTCCCGGGGAGTCTCTAGCTGGGGAAGTACAATAAACACGGGCATGTTACTGACATATGCTGTGTAGGAAGACAAAGCAGAGCCAAGTGGATAGAAGGTGCCGGTATCGGGGGCAGTGGACAGGCTGCGGTTTCACCATGTGGAAAGGGACAGCCTCTCTCAGAGGATAAGATCTGATCAGTCCTGACAGAAGCGAGTGAGTCAAGAACTTAGCGGGGGAGCGTTTCTGCAGTGAAGGTGGAGGCAAAAGGGAGGGTGAAAGCCCTTGAGGCAAATGTGCTTGGCAGGCTCAAAGAACAGCAAGGAAAGTGTGAGCCAGAGATGGAAGTGGGTGTGGGACATGGAGGAGAGGAGAGGAACAGCCAACGGTTCACTGAGAAAAGAGAGGCCCGAGTGCACAGGTGTTTGCTGGGCACAGGGAAGATCGGGCTTTCCCTGAGACAGAGAGAGTGGAGGGACGTGCACACAGGAGTGTTCACTCGCTCACTGGGCTGTGGTGCCAAGGGCAAGCGCGGGAGCAAGTGAAGGTTACTAGGACAGTTAGGAAAGAGGTGACTGTGGCTTGAACAGGGCAGGTAAATGAAGACAAGTGGATTTGTGATATATTTGAAAGAAAAGGTCAGCAGGAGGTGCACATGGGTGGATGCCAAGTGTGAGAAAGGATGGCACTCAGGCTGCTGCCAGGCCTGGACAATGGGACAGGCAGGGTGCCCACTCTGAGAGGGCTGTGGCCAACAGAGGAGGAGGCTGGAGGGCAGCCACCACTAGGGTGTGGATATATTCGGCTTCATAGTGAGCAGTAATGCTTCCGATAGGACAGATTAAGTCTGGGGTGGACCTGGCAATTGTCAACCTGTCATATGTCCCAGGATGGATGACATCACCTAGGAAACAGGTGTGGATATAGAGGCAGTCTACTCTGAGAGCTTCTATTCTCCTGGGAAGAAACACAAAATTGACAAATAAATGTCATCGGTCTGATAAGTGTTCTGTAGAAAAACAAAGCTGGGGAATGGGACAGAGAATGCTGGTGCCTTGGGGTATATGGATGTCATTCACCACAGATGCAATTAAACACAAGCTGGGAGCAGAGACAGTGGGCGGGCGGGCTGAGTCTGATGGTCATCATCCCATTTGACACCGAGACTAGACAGGATCACTCAGGGAATGGGCAGATGGAGAAATAGAGAAATCTGAGAGCTGAGCCCTCCCGCACTTGGTATAGACAGGAGTAGAACAGGAGTAGAACGTGGTATAATGGGTTTTGTTTTTGGAAACTCAGGTAGGAAGAGGAGATGGCTGTCAGAAGATGGCTGTTAGAGAAGAAAGCTATCAGCCCTCACTCTAAGCCACTGAACTGTTGTTTACTCAATCTTTAGACCAGCTTGGAAGTGAGGGAGAAGAGACCTGTTTTTCTTAAGATTTGTCATCAGAATCAACTCAGAGGTCTGTTGAAAATGAAGATCCCGGGGCTAGCTGCAGGGATGCAGCACGAGTGTAGCATTCTGTGATGCTGAATCCATATGGGAAGGTCTGGGTTCACATCCCAAGGTCTCCCTGCACACTTGGGCCAGGCTGGCTGAGGCGAGGGGCACATCGCTGTGTGAAGACCTGTTAGAGGTACCTCTCTACCTGTCTATGTTTCATGGAAGAAATAAACTTAAGGAAGAATGTTTGAGCTGGTTCCATAGCCTAGTGTTTAAGAGAGTTGGATCCCACATGGTCAACTGTGCAGTTGGAATCTTGGCTGTTGTGGCTTGAAAAATACACCAGGCATACATATGTTTGTGGCCCAAATCCTTACAGGATGGAGAAATGGAGAAGGGATTGTGGTGACCACACCTCATTGGAGGGTGATTTCTCTCTCTCTCTCTGTCAAGTGCATGCATCCTCTGGGAATTCAAAAAAAAAGAATGAAGTTTCCATGTTCTGTTCTTTATCGAATCAACCTCTGGAACTAGACCCTGATGGGTAGCGATGGTATTATTTCAGATGATTCTTAATATCCACTAAAGCTTGAAAACCAAAGTATGAAAGGCAGGGAGAAAATAGAAGACATTTAAGAGTGGTATAAGGTTGATAGAAGCCAAACTGTGGAGGGTTTTAACTCAATTTGTGGTCAAGGTGTGGTCGAGCTCCTAAGGACTGTAAGTAGATGAGCTCTACAGGCAGACCTATGCACGTGTGAATAGACTGGGGTGTGAGGACTTAAAATGGAAATGCAAACTTGGCTCCTAAAATGATCCTTACTGTTATGGTCAGGCCTATTGGTACTGAGATTCTTCAGTTTTAAAAATGTTTTAGAAATTTTTATTATGAATGAGTTGAGTTTATAAAGAAAAAATAATAGTTTTAAAAAAAAATCTGTATTTTGTGCTGAAGGAAGAAAGACAAAAGGAACTGCAAAAAGGACCTGCTGCTGACAGTCAAACCCTTGTCAGCATAACTTAGCACAGGTTAAGCATTACTCAAGAGATGGAATGCTCAGCACATCGTCTTTCAATCAGAACGTGTCTGCATCGTGTATCGTATTGGACAGCAGGAAGTGCCACAGAGAACTCCTACCTAAGCCCTAACTCACTACTCCAATATGGAGGCAGAACATAATGGGTATTAGTAATGAAAACAACTGAAGAGATTTATTCAGAGGTCATTTGTTATGAGTCATTTAAAAATTAAAAATACTTGGGCTAGTGGCATGGTTAAGGTGCTGTATTCCCATAAAGTCAAACGTGGTTCAATTCCTGGACCTAGTGGCTTATTTCCTCACTTTCCCTTTCGCTCTCTTGTCAAATTAAAAAACTAATAATGATAATAAATAAAATAGTTCTTTAAAGAAAAATGAAAACAAAAATACCTTCCATGGGCCAACAGGTAGCATGGTGGCTAAGGCGCTGGACTCCCACCAACCATAATCTGAATCAAGGACTTGGAGGTTTGCTTTCACATTCTCCTTGTCCCCACTCTGGTGAGCACATGTGCCCATACCAAATTTAAAATAATAATAAAGAAAATGAAATGATTTAAAAAACTCTCTGTACATGTAAAAATACAGCTGACGCCATAATATGATTTATGAAAAATAAATTTATTACATAACACCTTGTTTTTAACAATGTTCAATTTTTTTTATTCAGAATACTTGTGTCATTCATGTAAAATAGTTTGATACAGTACATTGTATGTTATAGGTTTTTTTTTCCTCAAAAATTCTAAGGCTCTCCTACTCTTTTCTCCTTTGCTGAAGTAAGGGCACCCTAAACAACGTGCGAACAAGGTTTTAAAAAGAAAATTAACTGAACAAAATTTAATAGCACTACACCAACCAACTTTAAAATCAGGACAAAATATCTGAATTGGATGCCGCACCTTTTTAAGGAAGTTATCATTCATGCTTTTCTCATCTTAAAGCATGCTCACAAATCAGCAACACCAACAGGAGAAATAAAACACTGTCTATGACAATCATTTTAGTTTTGTTTGCTGAACCAAACAGGTTTATATCAATGACAACATATTTAATTACTATCAAATAGCAGCTTTAATACCAGTCAAGTCATAGATTGAAAATCAAAAGAAACTTAGAAGTTGGAAATTAATCTTTGGGAGTTTTGAAACCTTTCTGGAAAAACTATGTGGCTTTTTGTACTTTCAAAAAAATCCAAGCATTACTCTTGGTCAAAAAACACTGATTAATGTAGAAAATGAATCAACCCACTGATAAGACACTAAAAAGAAAGGTGTACCAAAATAATCTCATTTTGAGTCTCGGTTATTTTGTTGAGTTAACGTATACTGTATGTTTCAAGTACCAGTTAAACTTTGTGTCTGTGTGTGTACTATTGGTCAGATAATGTTGTTACACTGAAAGAATTCACCACATACGAAGACAAATGCTTGCCCCTAGCACATTTCACAGCTTCAACTGCTACAGACTGTCACTGAAAAAAATGCATTGGTCAGTCTGAACCATGTCAAGTAAACTATGGAAGTAGCAAATCCACAACACAAACTGTGCTAGCACTTTCTTTTCAAGTCTAACTCCAAAACAGGTACAACTTGGAAGCCACTACCCCAATCTGTGAAAAGTGGTGGAACTTGGCTCCTGGACATTTCGAAGATGCGGTTGGTTGGACAGTACATTCTCATGGCCCAGACCAGGTTCCCGCAGACAGCTGCACAGTCAGCCCTGCAGCATTAGCAACAGTGCATTGACGAGATTCCGAGGCCGCTCAGTACCGATGCGTCTGATGTGAGTACTGTGGAGGCTGCTGGGAGGTAGCTGAGTATCCCATGCTGCTCTGTGGCTGTGATGTGCTTGGTCCAGGGTTGGGATAGGCAGCATGAGGATTGGAACGCTGAAAGGACAGGAGGAACAAGTGTGACTCGGGTACTTCTAGAAGTAGCTAGACCCCAAGACAGCAAGGCCTATGCGTGATCAAGGACAAGGATATAAAAATTTTGTAGTATGTACTGGTTTTAGAATTAAGAAGACAAAAAAAAAACCAAAAAAAAAAACCAAAACAACAAATCTTTGAACACATTAGCTTTGCTTTAGGCAAAGACAGAAGTACTGCTATCCGGGAACCAGCAGTTAGTGTAATGGCTATGTCACTGGACTCCCACGTAGTAGACCGTGGTTCGCGTCCCGGACCCGGTGGCTTAAAACTCACACTGGGCACGTGTGCGTGCGTGCCCAAGATCCCGAGAGGAGAATGGAGAAGGGATTGCGGCGTGACCATCCCCTCTGGGGGGTGATTTCTTGCTTTCTGTCTCTATGTCTCTCTCTGTCTGTCTGGCGAGCACACGTGCCCTATAGTGAAAACCTCTCAAAAAAAAAAAAAAGAAGTACTGCTAACTGAATACATTCTTTTTATAGCACTAACCCCCTTTTTACACTGTTTTGTGTCTACTGCCAAATAATAACAAATTTGCTTGAGATGTTTACACAAGAACTTGTACACATTCAATTCAAAGCTAATTTACATTCTAGTTTCTTCAACAAAAATTCCCTCCAACATACACATGACTAAAGGATAAAAATGAATATGACAAGGAAAGGTATCACAGGATAAATTTCTTGGGCATCAATATATTTTTATGCTTTTTAAATTACTGAATCTTATTTTCTGCTACAAGTTTATATACAAAAGTAAATATAGTCACTGAAATGTAAGAATAGTGGTATTCTCAATTTAAAACTGGCAAGGGAAAGAACAGTGATAGAGTTTAGAGTTCTGTAATTTTGATCTGTTATATTACTATTTCCAATCCTGCAATTTTCTCTCATATTATTGGTTCCCAAGACAAACACTAACTGAAAACACTAACCATAATTCATCGCTTCTCTATTTCAAAGCATATTTAGTAGGTCATGTAATTCTAAATTCTGCCAATTTTAGCAAAACTAAAAATTTAAAGAGTGGACACATGAAACTGCAGAGTCATAAATACTTCTTTTGATAACACCCACAAAAACCAGCCACAACAAGATCAACAAAGCAGTACAGCACGCCTTTCTCGGTTGCAGAAGCAAAGGTGAGGGCCTTGCCTTGCTATACTCGAAGGATGCCATCACCTTAGGGCACTAACACATTCTTGAGCCAAGAGAGATGCATTCTTCCCATCCAAAGGAAGAGAAAAGATGCTACGACAAATGTCAGCTCCCACAGAAGTCCATCCTTGGTTTCTGTGTTGAGCTAACTAGTAGAGCAACACTATTCGGGCAGACAATGATGTTGAGGATGTGGTGGGCTACTCCACTTCCATAATCAATGAAAAGAGGTAATACAGGTTGAGTATTCTTTTTCTAAAAAGTATGGGACCAGAAGAGTTTGAGATTTTTTTCAGATTTTGGAATATTTGCATATACCTAATGAGGCACCTTGGGGATGGGACCCAAATAAGTCTACACGTGAAATTTATTTCATATACATACACCTTTAGCTACATATTCTGAAGGTAATTGTATACAATATTTTTGCATTGCAGCATTTTCACCAAGACTCATTACATAAGGTCATGGGTGGAATTTTCCCCACATGGATGTAACGCTCACAAAATTTCAGATTTAGAAGCATTCTGGATTTCTGTTTAGTGATGTGCAACCTATACCTAATTTCTTGAAGTGTAGTAGTGGGCTCTGGGAACTGTAACAATTTCATAAGACCTCTTTTTTATCAGTAAATAATTGTCCAGGTTTTCAGTATTCTTCCTAAACAGAAACCCAGTATCACTGGGAATATGATTAGAATAAGCAGAAGTGAAAGCGAGTGGTATTCAATTTTCAAAACAGAACTTTCCGCACAGGAATTGGCAATGTCAGATGATAAGATCCATAAATAGGCAACATAGCAATTTTTTGGGTCAGCTCTAAGCCTGAGTCCTGGGCCTGCCACTGACCCCTTGGGTGACCAGGTCTAAGTTGATTTTTTGTTGAGAGGTTTTTGCTACAGGATGCATGCGATCACCAGAAAGAGAGAGGCAGAGAGACAGAAAGTGAGAAATCACCCCCCAGGGAGGCTGGCCACACTGCAATCCTTTCTCTTCCATTCTCCTCTTGGGATCTTGGGCACACACGCACACGCACCCGGCCTGAGTTTAAGCCGCCAGGTCCAGGACTCACACCATGGTCGGCTACATGGGAGTCCAGCAACATAGCCATTAACGCTACGAGCCTGTTTCCCAAAATGGCAAAGTAACACTCACTTTCCAGAGTCATTATAACAACTATAAGGTATATTTCGTACTTGGTATAATAACTGGCACATAATAAGTACTCAGAAATCTATGGTTATTGCAGTACCACTACCACTTCAGAAGCACTTACTAAATACTATGAGTGCTACTAAGCGTTTTATTGATATTAAAATAATAAACATAATTGCTATAATCTAGCACTTAAGTCATGCTTGTCACTGCACCTTAGCATACATTACCTCATTTAGTCCTTACTACAACTTCACATTTATTACTACCCATGTTCCGCAGGTGAGGAAACTGAGAATGTTTGAATCACTTACTCAAGGTTACAGAGAAGTAACCAGGCATGGATTTTAAGGTGTGTGTTCTAAATCACTATGGTTTATGGTTTGAACATAATAGATAGTAGTTATCAAGCTCCTACTGAACTAGGTACTAAGATACATCATGTCTAATCTGACAACAAATGATTTAGGGTTTCACTTTATAGATGAAAAATCTAACGCCAAGAGATGTTATACTACCTGTCCAAGGTCACAGAGTTAAATAAATGCCATAATTTGAATTTGATCTTTCCAAGTCTGCCTGGATCAAATCCGTCTAGGTCAAAAGGGTAAACCTTCCCTACAATAGCACTGTCACTATCTTTCTCCGATAATAGTGTCTAATGTCAGTATATCTCTCCAGGTACACAGAGGTCAGTATTCCTCAATTACACCTCACTTTCCCATGGTTATGGGACCATATGCAAACAACAATGTGGCAAATCAACACAAAATACACTTGACATACCTGATAGTCTGAGGTCATTATCAGTCCACCTGAGGTAGTGGTAGGAGGAACAACTCTCACTTTTTTCAACGGGGGTCCCTGTGCATGACTGCTGTCTTGATTCCCTGGGTGGCCAGTCCCATTAGTGTGGTTATTGCCCTGCTGCTGCTGCTGGTTCTTCTCAATTGGTTAAACAGAGAAACAAAGTTCAACTCAGGAGGAGAACAAAGAACAGCCACGCCAGAAAATGTCAGGGAAGCATTCAGGAAACAGGAAGCTGTCAACTGTACTTTGATACTTACTTTGTCTCCTTTGTCATCAGGTTCTTCTTCTGTTAAAAACTCTCGTTTTGGATAGGGGATTTGACAACCGGCAAAAACGCTGCTCAGAAGAAGAAAAACACAAATAATTTCTGGTACACTAATTAATATTTCAAATGCTGGCTTTAGGTGGTTTTCATTTTAATCTTTTAAAATGGGCTTTGTCTCCATATTTGTGAATATAAGACCCTTTTATTCAACCACGACAAAAATGAATCTTTTCTCCTAACTGGTGAGATTACAGCTGGCCATCTGAGGGCCCTTCATTATGTAAAATAATCATCACCTAACATGACTCGACTTTCTTCTTTTATCTCACCATCACTTTTTTATTACTACAATCAAAATATAGATTCTAGTTGAAATTTATGTCACTACTCGAAGGCAATTTTTGTTTTATCCTCCCTACTACATTAAAACAAAAGATAGTATAGCAGCACAAAACTGTAATTGCAGGCAGTAAGCAACCTCAGTATCTAAGGAGCTATAGCAAGTATCATCAACCTGTCACAGAGTAACTGGATTACTCCTGAAACTGATGTGATCCTTTACGAAACCCCCCAAATGGCACTTCACCAGAAGAGCTCATTTTTTTTGTCACAGGATTTCCTTGGGTCCTCATCTGAGAGTGGTGACTTAGCATTGACTAGATAAGTGGGATTACATCAGGTTAAAATGCTTCTGCTCAGGACCAGCAAATGGCACTCCACTCCCACATGGTCAATAGTGGTTCAAGTCTTGGGCCTGGTGGTTTGAAAAATCATGCTGAGTGTGTGTGTGTATGTGTGCCCAAGGTCTTGGGAGAAGAATGGAGGAGAAGGGATTGCAGCACGGCCATTCCCCTTTAGGAGGTGATTTCTCACTTTCCCTCTCACCATATCTGTCTCTCTCTCTAGGGACACATTTACCCTAAGGGAAAAACCTATTTAAAAAAAAAAAAAAGGCTTCTGCTCAGCAAAAGAACCAATAATTAGAGTGAATGACAACCCTCAGTATGGAAGAATACATTTGCAAACTATGCCTCAAATAAGAGACTGAGAACTAGAATATACTAGAACTCAAACAGCTTACCCACCCCTCAAATAATCAACCCAATTAAAAGATGGGCAAATGAACTGAACAAACAACTTTTGAAGGAAGACACACAAATGGCCAAAAAGTATATGTAAAAATGCTCAACACTCCTTATCAGAAGGGAGATGTGAGTACATGTGTCCTATGCCCCCTCCAAAACAACCCTCAAAATAAATAAATAAAACAAAGAATGATATGTGCTGGTGAAGCTGTAGTGAAAAGGAAACTTTCCTATACTGTTATTGGGAATATAAATTAGTTCAGCCACTATGGAGAATAATATGGAGGTTCCTCAAAGACCTACAAATAGAACCACCATATGATCCAGTAATTCCACTCCTGGCTACCTACCCAAAGGATAGGAATATACTCAGCTGGGAAAACACTTGCACATCCATGTTACTGCAGCATTATTCACAATTGTTAAGATATGGAATCAACCCAAATGTCCATGAACGGATGAATGAACTGAAAAAGTGTGGCTCATATACACTATGGAAAATTACTCAGTCATGGAAAATGAGATCCCGGTGTTTGATACAAAGTGGATGAATATGAAAGACTTACTGCTAAGTGAAGCAATCAGACTATGAAAGAGAAGCACTGTGTGACCCCACTTGATATTTACTGAATGACTGTACTCTATGGCAGAAACTTAAAGACTGGAAGGTATAAAAGCATGGAAAATAATTGTGGACAGTGCAGACAGCAACAGCAAACAGTGTGGAAGGAGGGCAGGAAATGGGGGTGGGGGTAAGAAGGAGGGAATCAAGGGGAAAAAGAGGCAAAAGATTTAAGGAACACTGGGAACCAGAAGTTAGAGTAATGACTATGTCGCTAGACTCCCACGTAGTCGACTGCAGTTCATGTCCCGGACCCGGTGGCTTAAAACTCACACTGGGCACGTGTGCGTGCGTGCCCAAGATCCCGAGAGGAGAATGGAGGAGAAGGGATTGCGGCATGACCATCCCCCTGGGGGGTGATTTCTCGCTTTCTGTCTCTATGTCTCTGTCTGCCTGGTGAGCGCATGCGCCCTATAGCGAAAAACCTCTCCAAAAAAAAAAAAAAAAAAATTTAAGGAACACAAAAATAGAAAATTATCTGTGGATAATGTTACGGTAATATCTCTGGACTAATATACAGCATATTCATGCTGAGAAAATTCACTTTGTATGTTCTAATGATATACAGTGATTGAATGTAAAATAATAAAAATTATTGTATAAAAGTAAAAGCATTGGCAACTAAAAGAAAAGCATGCGCCAAAATTTCATCATGTTACTGAGTTAAGAAATCGACCACTTACTCTGATGTAGGAAGAGGGTCTTCTAAGAAGTAGGGATCCTGCATAGCCTGTTCTGAGGTAATTCGCTTTATTGGGTCCATGGTAAGCAACTTCTGAAGCTGAAACCATACATCATAAAAACATCACTACATTAGTTCTCACAGTTAACCTTTCACAGCACTTACGTGGGAGGTACGTATTTTTCTGACAACCACCACCACAATTTGGAGGATAACCACACCACAATTTGAAGAATATTTAGCCACCCAAAATAACGACAACAAAACCCAATTATTAAATTTAATGTAATTCACGTTCTACTCAATCCAATAATACATGTCATTATCTCACTTGATTCTCATACAAATGATTACATGTATGTCTTCTGACTCTCAAACAATGATCTTCTCTTCTATATTATCTAAACTGCTTTTTCCAATTTAGAACAAAACTAACTTTTTTCTATTCTCTTTTTTAAATGAGAAAAAATGTTGTAACAAACAGTATAGTAGCTGTGTGGAGCTATTCAGATTTAGATTCAAATTAATTCAAACCAAATTAAACTTAAAAAAAAATCAGTTTCTGGGGCCAGTAGGTGGCACAGAGGTTAAGGCAGCCGGATACCATGTGGCTGGCTGCTCAGTTCAAGTCCCAGACCTGGTGGTTTGAAAATACCACACTGGACACATGTATATCTATGCCCAAAATCCTGAGAGGAGAATGGAGAAGGAATTGTGGCATGATCATACACCTTAGGGAGTGATCACTTACTCTCTCCCCCTCTCTCTCTCTGGTGAGTGCATGTAACCTATAACAAGTTACCAAAAACAACGACAAACAAAATCAGTTTCCTAATACACCAGTCACATTTCAAATTGTCAAGAGCCATAGGTGGTGAGTAGCTACCCTTACTGTGAGATGCAGATCTTCACAAAAGCTCTGCTGCACTAGTGTAAACACAGTGATACACACTTGTGAGCACAGAGTTGTGGTGACAGGTAGAGGTTCTGGAAATAGACTGCTTAATTCAAATCCTAACTCAATATTTATCAGTTAAATGACACTGGACAAGTTACTTTACCTCTTTGTAATTCCATCTGTCAAACAGAGATTAAAAATAGTACCTATTATCACAGGTTTGTTTTCAGGATTGAGTCAAAATATGGAAAGAAATTATTATTATTACTACATATGGCAATGTCACATTGATGTGATGATTCTGTATCTTTTAGTTAAAATGTACTTCATTGGAGGCACTATGGACTAGAATATCTGGCTTTAACATGTAATTTAGGAGACCACTTAAGGTGGGTTTTTTGTGTGTATACACTGATCTAATGTGGTTTGCAACCATCAGTCTGTGTCAGAATCACCCAGAGGGCTGCTTAGCACAGACTGCTGGGCCCTACCCCCAGAGTTCCTGACTGGTAGGTCTGGGCAGGAGCAAGAGCCTGTATTTCCAAGTGACCAGGTGATGCTAATGCAGTCAGTGCTGTTGGACTGGTTCACATCTGAAAACCAATGAACTACTAGGCACACTGAGACTTAATGAAAGGGATAGATTTTAGAGCCTAACAGGACACAGAGTGTTTTAAAAAGCAGATAAAATACTGCATTAGTGAGATGAAAATTTAACTTTAATAATGTGATATTTCAGTGGAAGCCGCCCCCCCCCCTTTTTTTAATGAGAAAGAGTGAAAAGGCGGCAAAGAGGGAGAAAGGGGTATATTTGTAAGTCTCGGCCTCCCAGTTAGTGCTGGCCTGTTTAGGCTGGACTGGAGACTGAATGCCAGCCACCCTTGTTTCAGCAACCGCACAGCAGGTCACCAACTGGACACCACCACTGTCCAGACGAGCACAGTTTATCTTGAAAATTAAAAGGAAGGGCCTGGATTTGCTACTTAAAATACAAACAGTTTTAACTGAATTACAGTGCTTTCAGATGAGACCACCCAAGAGGACCAACAGTTAAGACAGTCACTCAGATAAACAAGACAGTAAGCTACAAGGTAGGTGTATCTCTAGAGTTTCTTTGGTGATGGTTGCCTCAGATATATTGAGTAGAAGGAATTTAGGGAAAGTAAGAGTAATTCCCCCAAATGGTGACTTTTAGTCTACTACAATTATTTCATTAGAAAAAAATAAATTTCTAATTCTGAAAGATGTAACTTAATATTCTAATCTGGGTCCTGTAAGTACATTATAGTATACCATTATCTGGTACTTTGTGAGGTAACGATAGGTAAAGCACAGGTTTCTAAATTGCTGATAAGATATGAAATACACACAATATGACATGATATAATAAATAAAAGACACAGAAGCAGGAGCAATAGAGAGAGAAGAAAAAAGTAGAAGCAGAAATGGAAATAATGTTTGTTTGGCAAGTGGCCTGGTGACAACAAAGGAAAGTTTAACCTTTTCAAGGTAAAAGAATTCCCGTTTAAGAATACTTGGGAATAAGGATTAAAATAATTTTAAGACAAGTCAAATAGAATCTGATTCCTCAGATTCCCCTAATTTTATATGTTATAAACCTTTATTAGGAAATTAGATAAAATTTTAAATTATCATGTTAACAATGAAAATTTTTACTATAAACAAGTTTAAGTTGAAACAGTTGAATATACAGTATCAATAAATTATCTTGCTAATGCATGGATTTGTTTATTTTTCCACGACACACTGATAAATGCTGCACCTCTCAGTTTCCAGAAATTGCAAATAAATCCTGGACACTCTAACTGAAGGACTTCTAACACAAGTTTATAAGAACTATCTTAGGAGTTAAAAATTTTATAAACAATCTTTCAAATAGTTAAAATGCAAATAATCTGTAAAATTATTTTTGAATGGTAGGATTGTTTCCTGATACTTCTCTGATATTTTTGAAATTTTCAAATACCTGATAAAAAACAAATGTAATTTTTAAATATTCTTGACAGACTTGTTACAATAACTACCTTTAGGAAATCTAATTCAACCAAACATTAGTTGTCAAACCATGCTATGGGTTTGAGAAAACAAATATTCTGATGCCTTTACTGGTATGCACCAACAAGATTTCTCTGTATTCATCCTTAAAGCCCTCTCAGAGAGCCAAGAAACCATATATTAAGCCCAAAAAAGCCTCAGTCAATTAGGGGAAAAAAATGCATTTCATAAATAGTGTTATCTAAAGCTTACCAAGTGGAATGCTTTACTATCTGGTTTAACTTTATGTTTTTCCATATACTTGATAAGGCTGCAGTTGGTATACCTGAAAGAAAAATACTATAAAATATCTATATTAAATCTGATGTTAATTTACAATGGCTAAAAGAGACACAGGTTTAGCATCCCTGATGTGAACAATCTGAAATCCAAATGATCCAAAATCTGAAATTTTTGAGCATTACATTACAAGTTGAAAAATTCTATACTTAACTCCATGTGATAGGTTGTGGTCAAATCCCTGCAATATAAAAATACTGTATACAATTACCTTCCAGCTATGTGTATAAGGTGTAGCTAGAACATAAGTGAATTTCACATTTCTACTTGGGTCTCTCCCCAAGAAATCTTAGTATATGCAAATATTCCAATATCTGAAAAAATGTGAAATGCTTCTGGTCCCAAGCATTTTGGATCATGGATATTCAACCTATATTTTGATCATAACCAATATAAAGTATATATTGAAAATAGTATGAGTAACATACAAAGAATAGCATTAAATCAATTTTATGTTTCATTCAATAGCCACACTGGTCACTTCTGAATGAATATCAATGATTAAGCGCAAAACAATTTCATAAATGACATTTACTGAACAGCCTAAGTTGTACCTTAATTATTTGAAACAACACTTGAGTGAACTCAGCTTTCCAGCTAGCTTAACTACATTTGTTAGCAATCTAAAAACTGGACTTTCCCAGCCCCTAACTTTGTAAGTTAGTAAAATAAATTTAGTCATTCTTCTCTATTGAAACTTGCTTAAAATTACTACACAGCCTAGATCGGTAGCCAAGTGCCTATCAGAACGGTTTTTGTTTTTGTTTTTCCCTTATTTCTTCAGCTATGATACTTCCCACTAAAGTCTAACTTCCAGAAAGTAGTAAATATGGAAAGAAATGAGTCAATTTTTTCTCATATCAGCTGTTAATATTAGTCACCCTTTTGATACCATTGTTTCAACATCTCAAGAAATAAAGATTGTAATCATAAGAAATATTTACAAGAGTAAATAAGTACAATACTTTTTAATCTTATGGTAAATAGTCTATTATGCCGACTATTTGATATAATACTGAATCTTCTGAAAAGGCAAAAATTAGTAGTGAGTCTGTTTTCTTTCCAACTTACGTATTTCTTCTGAAATCTTTCATTAATGTTGAATGTTCGGGCATCTTTTTTATATCTTCCCAATCTTTATCTGTGAAATACATTGATAAATTTTTATGTTGCCTACGTTCCTATTCTCATGAATTTTAACAAAGTTTATCCCAATTTTTATTACATTTCCTACACTTCTAACCTCTATGAAAGCCTGAACTTCAAATAAATGCCCAGCCACTTCAAATAAATGCCCAAACATCTTGAAATATAAATACAATTTCTTATTTCTTGTATAGCTTCAGGTATTTGCTTGTGTTTTTAATTTTAAGCTGCCTATTTTACATTATGTTTCACTGTAAGCTGCCTCAATTCCTATCACTACAGGGGAAATAAGTTATAAATAGGCATTTTTATTTCTTTTATTAAACAGTCCTATTTCTATTAGTAAAACTACTTATTTCCCCCTTTCCACCAAATTTCTCATTTAAATTAGCAACCCAAACTCATCAATGAGGAATCTAGGATCTCTTCGAAACTTCAGTGACTTTAATACACTTCTTATGATATAGCCCTCCTTTCACCTTATTAAATACATGTCTTTTTATCAGCTATCAAGGTAACCAGTAATAACTGTTTACAGCAGAATTGGGTATGATATAACTAGGATACCCAGTACATTAGGTACCTTGGCTAGTTTCAATAACATTACCCAAAACAACCCCAGCTAACAAACATGCTAAGTTCCAAGATGTTTCAGTTAGTTTTGCTGACATAAGAGCTGCTTAAGTGACATGTGGCTAGCTAACTTGTTTTCTCCATCACTGCCAGGGTGCTTTTACTGACAGCCTTCCAGGTCCACAGCCCTGTACCCGGTAGCTTAATGGTACCTTTAGCTTTCATACGGCCTTCGGAGGTTTCCTTTTCTTTTAACTCACTTGTAAAAATATCTGTTAACTACTCTTTGGACATCACATACTGTAAAATAAATATATACTTAGATTCTAAAATGGAATTTTCTCTTTAATTATTTCCTTGTTTCAAGTTTTCTGTTTTGTCATTTTCTCAAGCTAGAGATCTTGAGACAATCTTTTAGTCTTTCCTCAATCACACACTTCCACAAAACACATAGCTGCCCTTTATTCTCCAGTCTTATTAACACTTTATGACTACACTACTGCCACAGCCATGGCTGGTTTCTCTGACTTCAGTTATCTCCCTTGAGTTTTTGACCTATCACGGCCATACTAATCTTCCTAAAATATGATATACATCATAGCTCCAGTACACAAGAACTTAAGGATCTCATTCTCTAGCACATTAAATCTAAACTCTGCTGTCTGCTTTTCAAGGTTCCCTATAAACTAGACCTACCCTAAGTGTTAGACCACATTATTAAGATCATTTGTGATATAGGTCCTAACTATTCCCACCTATGGTCATAAGCCATGTTCCTTTCCCTTTGGGCGTCAGAAATGGTGAGCACATTATGAAGCAGGAAGAAAAAGCCATTCCTCTCTACTCACACCAAACCTGTTTTTGAAATATTTAAACAATGTAATCTTCAATAGGGCAAGAATCATATCTTTTGGCACTATTTTTCACTTAAATCAGTTCCCAGCACATGATACTCATTAAGTATTTAGTGTATAAATGAAATTCCCATCACAACAAAGTGGTTTTCCAAAAATGTCAGCCAATTTTGGAGTCAGTATCTGTGTGGTTATTCTGCATTTATTGATAATTAACACTCTTACAAAGGAATGTGAAATTGAAACTCTCAAATATTTGTGTGAGTCTCGAGTTACAGTGACCTAAGAAATATTACTATAAGAAGTACTTCCATTAAGTTCCTGACTAGCCTAATCACTGGGTTGTTGGGAAAGTCATGACACATTTTTACACAGAGGAATATGTCATGACTTTCCCAACAACCTAATAGACATTTAGGTGCTTTAAGTAAATTCTCATTGTTCTGGTCCTCTGGGCACTTTTTGGTGACTGAAGAACTACCACTCTCTGGCATATCTAGGGACAGGTATGAGCTGGAGAGCTCCAGCTCCAGTGATAGGACACCTGTAAACTGGGCCTCTGTTGTAAAACGGTGCATTAACTCATTGTGGAGCACTGTGACCTTCATTCACAGTCTGAGTGTTATAGGAACAAGGATTACAGAGCAAAAATATTGTTATTCAATATTATGTGATTCTGTTCAGGGCCCTATCTGGAAATATGGTTCAGAATCTGTATTCGAATGCCAAGTAGCAGTACTATTATATGTACTGTCAAAAAAAAAAAAAAAAATTCCTACCACTAAATTTTATTTATATTTTCTACTGGTAAGAACTAGGGCACTTTTCAGAATATAAATATATCCAAATATTTTATCATTTCAAGTATCAAACAAAACAGGAAGCAAAATAAAATAAAAAAATACACTCCTCAAGTTCAGAAACCCATAAATATTTCATGTTAATATGTGAAATGTACAAATCCTGTACATTTCTGTGGATCTTTGATAACTACAATTCATAAAAACAAAGAAAAGAGTAAGAGTAGCTTTCATTAGCTGAAAATATACACCTTTCTAATGAAAACATCTATGTTTAAACAACAGTGATTTAAAAACAAAAACAAAAACATAATGTGTACCTGCAGGAAATCCCATTACATTGAATATTCTGTCCAGCTGGTCATGGTGATAAGGATTACTAGTTTTGATGTCCTCTTGTCGACAGTGAAATATTGGTTCTGACGTTAGTAGTTCTGCAAATATACACCCTATAGCCCAAATATCTTTAAAACAAAAAGAAAAAAAAAAAAAGGAAAAAAGGAAAAAGGAAAAAGAAAGGAGGAAAATAAAGTGGTTCTTTCCAAAAGAAAATGCATTTTTATTTTGGTGTGGAGTGTATTTTCTTTCCTTCTTTCTTTTTTCTAATAAGTCATATTAATTCCTAAGCAATTATAATGATCAAATATCATGAAACATTGTAAATATATATTCCCAGCCTACCCACCCCAATTTTTCCTTATTAGAGCTATATCCCATTCAATGGCTTCATTCTAAGCCTAATTAAATTTATCAGCTGGATGATGTCAAGTTTTAAATGCCTCAAATATTGTCTCATGTATGAAATACATACAGAGCTGCATATGGAGCATGGGAACCATAAACAAAACTAAGCAAAATATAGAGAACCTGAATGCCTTTGAAACTGGATACTTGCCAAAAATAATTAATACAAGTTTTTATGACAAAATAGTTTTTATCTTTATTTACTTGCCAATTTATAACTTATAATTATACTGTTAGCCCTAATTAGCAAGGTGCTATTCCAAAAAGTAATAGATAGAGCCTGACTGTAGATATTGTAATAAAGGAGCTTCTTTAACACTTTTTCTTTCCAAGTATTTATGCTATAACAGTGTCAGATTCTGCAAACTTAAGTAGTTAATAACAAGATGAACAAAATAGGGAGTGAAATACTGTCTTTTAAAATGGGCTATAAGTTCATAAAAATTATTTTCAAAAACAGGCAAATGAATACAAAAATGTAAATGCCTTTCATTCAGAAGTCACAGCTTTTCTCTCACATTAAATTTGTACACAACAGAACTGTTAATAAAGGCAAGACCTGAATGCCAATTAAGAGTTTAACGCTTAAAATATTCCATTTATCCCTTTAACAAATCCCTAAGTTGACAATTTCAATTTCCTTACACTACAGTAGTGTGTACACGGCAGACACTCAATAAGTGGCTTCTGACTGATCTAACCAATACGTTTGGCAAATACAGATGGGGCTAAATTAAAAAATCACTATTTTATTAAAGCTAATTATTCAGATATGTTACTGTCACTTAAATGGGCAAAAAATGTTATTTATAAATAAGAATCCCTAAACTCTAAAACTGGAAATATTGACATTTAAGGTAAAACAATTACATTTACATTTCATAGTAGCAAGTTGACCATCCACTTAAAGATTTACACTTTGACTATAAGTAAGTCATTTTTTAAATGATGTTAATTAGCATATTAGAGAACCAAGTCTACCCAGTACCCCATAGGACAGGTCTTATCAGGAAATATAAGCCAAGCTATTCTGTTTTAGGCATTAGAAAGTAAATGGGAAAGATAATCATTTTCTGATTATTCTTTTCATATGGGTTATCTACGCAAACCTGACCTTTGATCACCTTAATCAATGGCCAGACAGGCCCTGAAGTAGGATCAGAGTGAGCTCACAGGTCATTCAGTGTGTTTAATCATCTATGTAAGGCACAACCAAGACACACTGTAGTGATTCATCTGGTTAGAGATGAACAATTCCAAAGAAAACAAAACATGTAAAGGGAAATGAGAAGTAGGCAGTCTAGCTACCATTAAAACTACACTGCTTTTTAAAAGAAAAAGTCAGGTGAGAGGAAAAAACAATGTACTGAATTTTGCCTAACTGCTCCATAGTAATCCTCTATCTTTATCTTCTATTAGAGTTCACCTTTATCAATTTCACCATTTTTTTCCTTTCTTCAAAGTCCTGATGCAGACATTTGGGTGAGCTGATCAGGCTAATACTTCCAACTCTTCACAAGTACGTTTCTCCTCCTACCTTGCTTACTTTTTTCAGACTGGGCTAAATTTCTGAAAGTCTCTTTCCTGATGCCTTTCGGAAAGACTTTCCAAAATTAAAAACTTATAAAATCCCATCTATTTCTCAAAATTTGTGATGCTCAGTGTGGCTATTAAACTAACCAGGTAAAGCAGGTAGCAACTGGCATGCTACATATACCTGCATTGGGAGAAAACAAGATTTTGTTTACTAATATTTTAATCAATAGGTATTCTAATATTATAGCAAGTTTCTATATTGATAAAAGAGTCTATTCCAATTTTCTCTATTTTACTGTATATTTCCCAATTAGCAGAATCCCACATAGTCAGTGTACATTCAATTTAAGGGCAGAAAGTGAAGTTTAACATCACTAAAACTTTTAAGACTGCGTTAGTGACAATTAATTAGAGATTGGCATCCTTCTTTCAGCCTTCTCCACGACGTCAATTGAACAAACAAAAATTAAACAAACAAAACATTCAAAGCTTAATTACACCTTGCCTCCAATATTACAATGTTTAGTAACCTATTATTTTCTCTTTGGTTTAATGATCTGGGGTGGGTTGGGCACAACTGAAAAATATACACAGTACTAAAACCTAGGAGAGGGCGGAACATGTTAGTTTAATGTGCTAAGACCAAAATTTTTCCCTATGCTTTTGCTCCTTAGTAGCCTTCAGTTTAATATAATCCACCAAATTCCAATAAAAAGATTTTTTAAAATGATGACCATATGCCCCTACTCACAAATTATAGTTACGTTCAACCACAAAGGTTTTCTATCAGCTGTCAACAAGTACCAGGGATGTTGTTAGGGAAGTTCTCGCTGAGTAGTTAAGGGTGGTGTGAAGAATTCGCTGAGTACTTTACTGAAGCTTTAGACTGCCTGTTATAGGTAATAGGAAGGGTGGGACTGCGGTAGAGATGAACTGAGGAAAAAGTTTCATTTCTTACTTTCTCATTTTTAAAAATGTACATTAAAAATAGTGTATGGGGACAACCTAGGTTGTGCAGTCTATAATATATTGGACTGCAGTGCTGTAAGTCACATGAATGAACGATCGTTCAGATCCCAAGGTTGGCCAGAAAACATGCCGGGCATGTGCACAGGTACCCAAGATCCTGAGGAATTGGAAGGCTGGGAAAAGAGGACCCTACCAAGGATGTTCCTCTTTCTCTCATGCACACAATTATTGGGGGGAAATAAAAAACAGAAAACAAACAAAAAAAAGGGCCAGCTGGGTGGCATGATGGTTACGGTGACTAGATCCACAGCTGAGTCCTAATCAAATGGCATGAAACACATGCTGACACACACGTGTGTGTGTCCAAAATCTTGAGAGGAGACTGGAGGAAAAGGGATTGCAGCATGGTCACCCACCCCGGGCGGGGGGGTACTATCTCTCCCCCACACACACAGCAAGCCCATGGCCCTTACAACAAATGTTTTAAAACAAAGTAAAAAAATCTGATGTACAATTTCTCTCTCTCAAACAAAAAAGCAGTTAGTACTGCACATTATCATCTCTAGACTCAATGTTTTGATAGATATGTTCAAGACTGATCTTCACCAAGCAAGGAGTACCCTGAACAGCGGTGAATGGTGGTGGTGGCGGCGGGGGGTGGGGGGGTGTCTTCATGTTGGGAAATGGCATTGACTTTGGTTACAATCATTTACATCCAAGTTCGTTTCCTCTGCGACTTTCCTACTTCAGGAAGCAGTTGTTTTTATCTAAAACCACAGAGCTTTTAGAGTTGAAGAGCTAAGAGGTAACTCTGGCTAAATTCTCATTTTCAGAAAAAAAGGCTAAAGGACTAAATGTCTTATCTAAACACCACCCCCTAGAGCAACAGTTCAGACTTAGTCTTGGTTCCTTCTATTGTTCAAAGATGACAAAATTATTTATTACCATCTTTTCAACTGGACTGAACCTCTGAAAGGTAAACACCACACTGTGTGTTGATATTGCTTTCTCCTTTTCAAAGTGCCATTCATTTTATTTTTTTAAAACATTTATTTATTTATTTATCTATTTGTTGTGATTTCCAAGCCAATGGGTCTAGAACTCGAACATACTGAATTCATGTAGTCATATACTACATTTTGATATTGATTAGGAGGAGGAGGGAGAAAAATATGAAAAAAGCTTTCTCTCTCCCAAATTATACAGCCACTGGAGTGGGAGAATCCACCTTTCCAACTCCTGGTAGTTTAGCCTTGAGGCACATTACCTGTATTAAAACTGGGGCTCCAGGATGACCTAATGAATAATGGGATATACAAATCTTCTTAATGTTCCCCCAAAATATAAATTTCTTAGGTAAAACAAGTATTAATAAATAATGAGTCACAATCACAAGCCTCTGTCATAGCGTAATTATTGTCATCATTATTATTTTTTAATGTTTGCTATCGTGTGTGCACTTGCTGGAGACAGACAGAAAGAGACAGCGAGTGAGAGAAAGTAAGTGAGAAAGCACCCCCTGGGGGGTGGCCATACTGAAATTCCTTCTCTTCCATTCTCCTCTTGAGATTTTTGGCACGTATGCACACATATCCCATGTTTTAAAGCCACTTGGTCTGGAACTGGAACCACTCGGTTAGCCGCGTGGGACCAGTCACCGTAAGTGGCTGGTCCTGTGACAGTATACTTTTTATCAATTTAAATCAATTTGAAGTCTTGGGAGTTTGGACAAAAAGAGTTAAAATTAAGCAATCATTTCCTTAGTTTTGTAGCCTAAGAACCATTTTTAATGTCTTATCAAAAGTAACATTGCTGGGAACCAGCGATTGGTGTAATGGCTATGTTGCTGGACTCCCATGTAGTCGACTGCGGTTCGCGTCCCAGACCCGGTGGCTTAGAACTCACGCCGGGCACATGTGCGTGCGTGCCCAAGAGGAGAATGGAGGAGAAGGGACTGCGGCGTGACCATCCCCCCTGGGGTGTGATTTCTCGCTTTCTGTCTCTATGTCTCTCTCTGTCTGTCTGGCGAGCACATGCGCCCTATAGCGAAAACCTCTCCAAAAAAAAGGTAACATTGCTTTTAAATGTTCATTTTCTAGAAAGAAAAAACAGCTGTGTATGATACTACTTTATATACATATCTTAAATGCATTCAGAGAAAACTTGAGAAGATATCAAAATGTTTCTTTAGGAATAACATGCATTAAAAAATATGACTAGTTGGGACCAGCAGATGGCTGGTATCCCATGTGGTTGACTGTGGTTCGAGCCTCAGACCTGGCGGAAACTCATGTGGGGTGTGTGTGTGTGTGTGTGTGTGTGCGTGCATACCAAAAATGCGTTGATACCAAAAATCCCAAGGGTAGAATGAAGAAGGGATTGCAGCATGGCCATCCCCTCTGAGGGGGTGATTTCTCTCTTTCTGTCTCTGTTTCTGTCTCACACTCACACACCCTATAGCAAAAATCTCTCTACAGAAAAAAAACAAAAACAAAAAACTAATTTTTGGGCCAGGAAGTGGTGTGGTGGAGTGGTTGAGGCACTGGACTCCCATGTAATCGACTACAGTTCCAGTCCTGGACACAGTGGCTTGAAACTCACACGAGGCGTGTGTGCACATGTGGCCAAAATCTTGAGAGAAGAATAAAGGAGAAGGAATTGCAGCATGGCTACCCTCTCAGGGGAGTGATTTCTCGCTTTCCATTTGTCTCCCTGGCAAGCTCATATGCCCTATAGCAAAAATCTATCTCTTAAAAAAAGACTAGCTTAAATAATATTTTAGTTTCCTTCTGATTTTAAAAGACTATTTGTTGTATTCTGGAATAACTTTAGATTTATAGAAAAGTTAAAAAGAGTGATCAACAGATGGTATAATGGTTACGTCAACTGACTCCCAGGTAATTGATTGTGGTTCGAATCCTGGACCCGGCAGCATAAAACTTACACTGGGTGTGTGTGTGTGCATGCCCAACATCCTGAAAGGGGAATGGAGGAAAAAAGACTATGATGTGGCCATGCCCCCGGGGGATGATTTCTCACTTTCTCTCTGTTTCTTTGGCAAGCGCACGCAAAAAAAAAAAAAATTTTAATTTAAAAAAAAATTTAAAAGATAGTACAGAGAATTCTAATACATAAATAACCTATTTTATCTGTATTTATCTTTCTATAAAATAAAATTCAAACTCAAACTATGTAGGAAGATTAGTGAACATAAAGTTTTAGGACTGGTCCCTTGGCTTAGTGGTTAAGGAAGCTGGCTCCTACATAGCTGACTGTGGTTTTTTACTTCTGACCCTGGACCCAGCCCCAGTGGCTTGAAAATGGGCATGTGTGCCCACATGCCCCAAATCCAAATGAGTGAAGAAATGGGGAAGGGATTGCAATATGATTACACCCCACTGGAGAGTGCTTTCTCTCTGTCTCTCTCTCCTTCTTTCTCTCTTTCTGGTGAGTGTAAGCAATCTCTGGCGATTAAAAATATGGAAATAAAATAATTTCTAAAAAACCATGTTGGATTCAAAATTAATATGGGGTTAAGACAAGTAAATTATAGAATGATATACCACAACAAAGAAAACTCAACAAAAAATGGGCATTACCAATTGAATGTGTATATACACACTCAACGCCCCCCCCCCAAAAAAAAACCCCAAAAAACAAACTGGGATCAGCAGTTGGCATAATGGCTATGTCGCTGGATTCCCATATAGTTGACTGTAGTTCGAGTCCCAGACCCAGTGGTTTAAACTATTGCTGGATGCATGTGTGTGCGTGCCCAAGATCCCAAAAGGAGAGTGGAGAAGGGACTATAGCATGGCCTTCCCCCCTGGGGGGGGGGGTTACTTCTCGCTTTCTGTCTCTCTGGCGAGTGCATGCACCCTATACCAAAAAATCCTCCAGAAACAAAACAAAACAGAAAACCCCCACAAAAATGAATGGAATGAAAACTGAATGAGTACAACATAATAAAATGTTCTATGCTGAAAATGATGAATAAGGTAATATCCTTGATTTCGTTACCACACACAGCATGCATGCTTTGAAAAACTATATTGTACCCCACAAAATATACAACTAAATGTAAATTAAAAAGTATAACCAAAAATAAAATTTTAAAAAAGATTAATATGGGGGAATGATCACAGCATTTCTCCTTTTCCCTTCTCTAATCTATAACAATATTAAAGTAATAAAAATCCACAGGAATAAAAAGAACAGGAGAAGATTGCAGGAACAAGATCCACTCATTTATTCAACAAAGAGTTCTCATGACGTACCACACAGGTACTTGGTTTGGGCAACAGCTTAGAAGTCTGTCTTAGGTGATTTTAGGTAGCATCTGAGGCAAAAAAGACAATAAGGTACAAGTATGATGGGGGAGGTAGGGCACAATTTTAGACTACATGACGAAGGCAGTATTTTCCAAGGAGGTAACATTCTGACTAAAGTCTGCATGAAAAGAAGGAACTAGCCATGTGAAGACCTGATCCAAGAAGAGATACATAAAAACATTTCTGGAAGATGAAGGAAAAGTCAATCTTTCACAGAAAGCCTCAGCCCACAGTACTATTGCTGAGTGGGAATCAGATTTGTCCTATACAATTCTGGGAAGATTTTGAACTTGGAAAGCCCAGATACAAAGTTGGTATTTTGAACAGTTGATATTCCTCCCCACTCTCCATCCTGGCACTGCCATAAATATAGAAAGCTTAGGCCCAAAGTTAGAGTATTCTTCCCTGAAAACTTCGAATAACTTCAGAGCAAAGACTTGTCTGGCATTTACTGTTTCCCCAGGTAACCACCCCAAAGTCAAATCACCAGTCTATGACTCACATACTCTACAAACACAAAATTCCCAAGTGGCTTTTTATAACCTGATTCTTAAATACAATTAAGGGTCACTAAACAGAAAAAGAATACTGGGCACATGGAGGGAGAGAACAAGACACACAAATTAAGAATCTCTATAGGGACCAGCAGATGACATAATGATTATGTGACTAGACTCCCATATAATAGACCGCAGTTCGAGTCCTGGACTCAGTGGCTTAAACTCACGCCGGGTGCATGTGCATGCGTGCCCAAGATCCCGAGAAGAGAATGGAGAAGGGACTGCGGTGTGGCTATCCTCCCTGGGGGTAAATTTCTCACTTTCTGTCTCTGTTATCTGTCTTCCCAGCGAGTGCACATGCCCTATTGCAAAAATCTCTCTTAAAAAAGGATGTCTATAGAGAAAACATAGGTAGTTATTTTGGGAATACTGCAAATTACAAACAAAGAAAGCACTATTATCACTATCTTCACAGATATTTGAAAGGCTTTCCTTTCCATAAAACAATACAAGATACTTTAAAAAAAAAGTAATTATCAGAGACCAAGGGGTTCATAGAAATAAGACAAAGACAGAAAAGTATGAAAAATAAGTGTTATAAAGGATCAATCAAAAAAGTCCAATAATCTGACTTCGCTGACTTCTGGAAAGAGAGAAATAAACACTTAACTATACAGTAGAATTTTACAGATACAGGACACAGTCTTCAGACTGAATGTGCCCACTAAGTGGTCAGCAAATCACTATCAAATGTAAAGTGAGAAATGCTATTTGTTTCAGAAAAACAAAACCACAGGTGATCCAGCAATGATTGAGAACAAGATTGACATAAAACTTTATGGGCAACATCGATGCCAGAAGGCAATGGAGGAAGAGATTCATCAAAGTTCTGGGGGAAAACTATTTTGTGCTGAGTAGAATTTTAAACCCTACCATAATAGAGGCATTTTTTCCTAAGTGCAAGAAGTAGAAAATTTACCTCTAAAATACCCTTCTAAAAGGAAGTTATATGCACAAAATAAAAGATGAAATTATGGACCCAGAAAAATAAAAAAAGGGAAAAGCCAGGATGGAACAGCATAGTATGCATGAAGACCAGCCAATTCAGAATGAAAGACTCCAGGAAGACGTTATTCAGTAAAAGCAAAAAGGGTTTAATGCCATTCTGGAGAACACAGAACGGGGTAAGGAGGCAATATACACAATCAAGGATAAAAAGAAAGGACAAACAGAAGAAACTACTTGACCAATTTCAACCAAACAGAATCATGCAGGATAAAAGATGTCAGTAATGGAGTGGTAGCAGTCAAAGGACTGTAAAAATCGAGTATTAAATTAATTACAATATGTAACTTAGGATAAAAACAACTGTGGGGATATGGTTAGCAAGAAAGGACAAAATGTAAACACTGACAAAGTAATGATAATGATGATGCTCTTACTAACACAGCTTATACATCGATAAGCTGGTAAGGGAAAAGTATAATAATGTTAATTTTGTAATGCTTTGTAATAAGAGGTATCAAAACTATTTAACATGGAAAAGTGGATTCAAATGTCCTAAGTACCTGAATTTCTTTTTCACAATCTTTTTCCTTTAGGGGGATCTCTCAGAAGTTATTAATATATCTTTTCGTAAAGGAAACATTTATCTGAAATTCAAAGGCTTCAAAATTTTACTGTTTTACATTTAATTTTACTTGAAAAGGAAAATAAAACTTGCTAAAAATAAAATGTATAGGGTGATTCCATTTATTTTCTGTGCAGAGAAAGAGAGAGATGTGTGGAATAATGCATCCCTAGAGCTAATGACAGTATTTCTAAGTAATGGCATTTGGGATTGGCTTTTGCTTTACATCTATCGTCTGCTGAATTACTTGATTTAAAAACATACAAATACGTATCCTTTACATACATCATATTTTAGAAATCATGGAATTTTAATCAGTTCTACTCACCAATAGCTTTGGTATAATGTCTTGCTCCAAGAAGTAGTTCTGGGGCACGGTACCAGAATGTAACCACTACTGGATCCAAATCTGCTAAAGGCTTCAAAGGTGAATTAAATAAGCGGGCAAAGCCCATATCAGCTGTAAAATAATAATAAAAAAAAACAATAATACTACTACTACTGTTAAGTAAACAGATTTTTACAAGTCTAGCTGATTAGTTTTGCTATGGTTATTTAATAAGATATGAAAAATGTGCTGAATTCTGAGGAGAAAAAAATCCACAAAACACCTTACCCCCTTTGAGAAGTCTACATATAAAACAAATGAGCTCTACATTCTCTTCCAACTACTGTCACCCAGCTCTTCAATGAGATTATAGCAAGCACAGCTGACTAAGGTTAAGGGGGCCTTTACTCCTCTGGGCAGATGAGTCACACCACCACTGGGGACAGGGTTCTTGAGGTGCATTTCCATTCTTTGTTCTGGTCACAAGCACTGAGAAACTGGATCAGTTAAGAGCAAGGCTTTCTATTATTTGCATCGACAAGCCCATTGGCTGGTGTAGTTATCAGTAGTTGACTGTACAGTATTTGAACACCATTATTTCTCCCACTGATTTGGGTCAAATTTCACTAACTTAATTTTAAAGAATCATAGTACTTGTTTTAAGCTGAAAAAGATTTTAATGGTCATCTAATTCAATTACCTCTTTTTTTCAGATGATGAAACAGGTTTAAAAGGTTACGTGATTTGACAAAGGCCACAAACACATACCTCAGTTGGAACTGAGCTTAGATATATTTCATGGCATTTAACATAGTTTAATATGTAATATGGCTTTTTGGGCACAGCTGTTTATCTTAAAGGCACAAGATGACATCTTTTTCACCTTTCTATCTCCAATAGCTCCATGTACAGTATCCTTACACATACCTTTTTGCCTGATATATGTTGAATAATCACTATTCCTATCGCCTATTCAAAAATTTCAAACTACATCCACCATTTGTTAAGTTTAGTTCTAGTCTTCTAATACACATATTTTAAAATGGAGTGGTTCTACTCTAATCAAGTTGATTATGGAAGTTAAAACCAAAACCAAAAATTTGGCAAAGAACTGAAACCATGAGTCAAATCATTAAATACTGGTTTATAGGAGAACTAATATTTCTTCAAATATGAATGCTTTAAGATGTCATGTCACCAAGCCTGTCAACATCATATACATCATATAGAAATATCATCTTAAACTAGATTATTTTAATATTTATATAAAATTCCCCCAAATCATACTGTAAAGAATACATCTGTAATTATTGTTTGAACTTACATTTGAATCTGATGCCACCAGACTGTATTGGACGGTCACTTTGAAAGTACACAAGGACGTAAAAGGTGTTTGATGGCACACGGATGAGCACTGATGGGGCCTGGTTCTCAAAGCCAATGGCTTGGAGTACACTGAGGTGCATCAAATGTGCTCACAACTAACAGTGTGCAAAGTCTATATCATAAAAGAGTATTTCAAAAATCTCAGTGGAAAGTGAGAGTTGGGGGATTTACAGGGCAAGATGGAGGAAAAAGGGTTAAAAACACCTAAATTTTTTTTTCTTGGTGAAGCAGTACAAATCAGCTGCTATACTTCTAACTCCTAATAGTTCTTGCAACCAGAAATTACTATTATACACTCCCCAGGTTCTGCTGCCTTTAAATTAATACAATTTAGTTACAACATTTTTTTTCTACCCAAAGACAAAACAACCTAGATATATGTGACAAACACAACTTGGAAATGACAATGGGGAAAAAAATAAACCAAACCAGTTAATATAAATAAATTTAGTTTTATCTTTATAGATTATCAGACCCGAAATGGGTAAAATTTTGCTTTGATACATAATAGAACTATCAGAAAACATGTAAAGATACAATATGCCCAATAATTTTTTTCTCATCAGGAAAAGCTTACTTAAGACCATCTCATTAGAACTTAAGGTTCTATACCTATCAGGCTCATGGCTTGCCCTACCTTGTAGCTCCTAATCTAGACAAGGTCAACAGATGCATATGCTCTCATCTAACCTGGCTCAGTGGACAGAGCTGATGGTAGAATTATTAGCATGCTGTATATCCTTGGGCCTAAAGGTGAGGCTGGCCCGTGACAGGGAAAGAAGCCACCCACCTCTACAGGCTAATTTTAACGAAGGCAGAGGTTTCTAGGAAACTTGCACAGCTTGTTTCATAATTAGAACACTTCAGTCTCTAAAGATTGTCTGACACCTTTCCAGGGTGTGAAACATTTCCACTTTTATGTATACTCATAAGAAATGACTTGGAGCATATGGAACTATATGAATATATGCATATTATTATGGCGAAAATGAAAAGTGATATAGCTGCCTATTAAGTTTTAAAAGAGTGCTACACTGTGACTTATCAAAGATATAACATACCAATTTTTACTCTTCCTCGCTCAGGACCTTCACCCATAACTAAAATATTAGCAGGTTTCTGTGGAAACAAAATAGTGTTTTTTTTCAGTAGACAGTAGTGGTTTCTTTTAAATAGACAATATGCCAATATCACATAAATCCACCTTTTAAAAAATCTCTTTACTCAAAAATTAAAACCAAATACAGGAAGTCACCAAAGAAACTGTAAGTGTATATAAGCAAAGCAGTATGCAAATTTAATTTAATGAAGGCCCAAATATGTCAGTGATTTTCTACACGAAGAGGCTTTTCTTGGCCCTTTTATCAGTGTTTTCACTACTGGGAATTATTTGACAGAATATAATATTGTGGTTCCTTCCCACTCTTTCAACTACATAAGATGTTCTGAGATTTTAAGAAAAGTGAATCTGCAAAAACAATACAAAGTTGTAAATTATTTATAGGTGAGGAGTCACCTGATATCCTTTTTTGGAAATAGCAAGGTATTTATCTATGTTTAAATAAATATAGAGAAATATAATACAGTCTTTTTTAAACAAGTTGGTAAAATAATAGAATTTTTTATAACAGAACAGTTTTGAGGTTTTTATTTTTAAGTAAAATAGCTAAATTTAAAGTGTTTTACTAAGGCAGTATTTCGAACAGTTTTTAAATCTCTAAAGATTAACCATCATCTATAATCTGTTAGAGTGGTATCAACTAGATTAACATAAAAGGGTCACCCCCTCTTCGAGGAGGAGGAGGAGAAGGAGGAGGATGGGATGAAAGAGTGAGAAAAAGAGGAAGAAAGAAGCAACTGAAACACACACTCTGCTATCCTGCCTTGAACTGACTTTAATCCTACTGGTCTGCTTATAAAAGTGAAAACAGATTACATTCCCTTTTCAAATACTGATCAAAGCAACCTTAGTATCAAATGGAAGATTTTAAACAAGGCTATTTACAGTGGCAAATGTTTCACAGGCTTCCCTATGCTATTACTATCAACATGTAATTTGTAGTATATTATTCAATCAACTATCAAAGTCAAAATTACTCTTTTATTCCCAGTTTAAAAAAAAAAAAAAGACATTGCTGAAATGGCAGCATATACATTTTGGAGGTTAAAATTCCTACAGTTGTTGAGGTCAGGAAAGTAGGCACAGAGATTAAATGACTTGCTCTAAGTGTAACCAGCAGGACTGGGCAGCAGCTGAACTGCCCCTGTCTGTCCCTGAACAGTCCAATGTACCCTTCCCAACATATCATTCTTGAAATAATTTTATGTAACAATTTTTTGATTAATGTGTACTGCTGAAATAGTATTTTATTCAAGAAAAAATTTCTGAATCTATATTTTCACCACATGCACATTCCTGACCACTTTTGGAAAGTGGCTAAGAATCCAAAGGTTAAGTACAGCACTAGTTAACAGCCCGGTAAGGTCCACGCAGGTGCTGCCCAGGCCAAATGAAACTGCTCTGCTGCACCCTGCTACTCAATCGTGCTCACTTAGTGGCTCCGGTCTCTTAGGGCCCAGCCTCGTTCAAAACGAGCTAGATTTCTGAGACCTGTAAATACTACCCAAGTGGAATCGGTGTTTCTGTTTGGCTAGAGGGAAAAGCCTTTCTCTCAATCCACCACATGAGCTCAAGAAGGAATGCTCATGTTTACACTAGAACTCTTCGCAGGTTTCTTCAGGGCAGGGCTCCTCAACACCTCTTTAATACATTTCCTACTCTTTAACCTCATTTCAAATCTTTCCCATCAAATCTATCTACTGTACCACTGCCAGGGTATCTTTCTAAAAGGCAAGTTTGTTTATGCTACTCCTTTGCTTAGAACCTTCCATGGAAATGTAGAAATTATTACAAGAAATTAAGCTAAAAGCGGTAGAATACAAAATGATGTACAGATTTGTGACTAGAACTGGGGAATAAAGTTCCTATGAATAAAGGTGTCATGGAGTGACAGAGGTACGGATGAACCTTTTCACACTTTTTTTTTTTTTTGCTAAGCTTTATTATTAAAGTATTATTTTAACTTTGGCTCCTCCCCATCCTAATAAGATCTAGTCCTTACAACAGAATGCAAGGCACCTACAAGCTGGCTCCCATTCCCAGTCCTGTCCTTGGTTCCATGTTGTTCCTGCCACATGAATCTTTCCAGAGACCTCTGACCAGATCACGACCTTCCACAATGCTGTCATTGCTATGCCATTATTTCTGCTCCAAAGGGCCTTTCCTCTGGACTACTTGGCAAAATTTGATATCTCCCAACTTCATAACAGAAGAAATACGTGAAAACATTCAGAGCATACACCATTTGAACATAAAGCCACACAGTTAAAGGTCCTGTCACTAGCCATCCCTCCTCCACTCCAACCCAGCTGCACTACCTTCTCCAGTTGCACAAGTTGATGGATTGGGTTCTGTGATCGATTTTTCTAGCACTAGTTTTCAATCCTAAAAAACCTCTGTTATCTGGCAAAAGCACATATGCGGACATCTCTATTTTAGATGGAACAGAAAATATTTCATCCCCCCTAGCTCCTCCTTTTAAATATTCTAACTCATTCAGTAGCTGGGCTCAGATCTGAGAGCACCAGGGATATATGATATTGGGCAGTGTGTGGCCCTAGGCAAAAGGGAAAAAAATTCTTTCTCATTTCAGGTTTCTTTATTCTAGCCTTACTGAACTGGACAAATTCAAACCTGGGTTTCAGCACTGGTGGAGAATAAGCAGTTTCTTTGTCAAGGTCTGGTCAAGCACTGGAGTTTAGGACCAAAATTCCAGTTAATAATTAAAAATTACTTTTCTACGTAACTCACTGCCTACTGTATGATGGGAACTAGGGACTGTAAACAGCTTTATTAAGCATCTCACTTTCATCCCAACACTACCATTATTTTTAACTGAATTTAGATTTGGTTTTGGCAAGCTAGTTGTAAACAAGAGAGAATGGTCTTACATGTTATTTATTTGTTTGTATTTATTTATTTATTTACTTTGAAAGACTTTTGCTATAGGGAGCGTGTGCTTGCCAGAGAGATAGAAAGTGAGAAATCGCTCCCCAGGGAAATGGCCAAACCGCCATCCCTTCCCCTCTCGGGATTTTGAGCAAGCACGCACACACACTCAGCGTGAGTTTTAAGCCTCGAGGTCCAAATCCTGGACGACTATAAGGGAGTCCAGCAAAGTAACCATTATGCCATGTGCTGGTCCCAAATGTTGTTTTAATCCACTATTTATAAATAACAGATCCCTCCGTAAGTTCTTTTCCTTGGTAACATTGCATATGCTCTAGAACATAACTTACTAAGCAAATGTAAATCTCATTTTCTCTTCTGAATATAATCTGATGAAAAACAGGACCTAATAATCATGATTACTCTTGTCAGTGGATCTGTTTGTCACTTAATCGGTATTAGGGCAGGCTTCAAAACAACTGACGAATAATTCTAGAACTTCATGCCATGGTGAAACAATCTTTGCTCTTCAAGAAAACTGGTTTCTTGATATATATATATATTTTTTTTCTTTGTCTATCAGTAGTAGAGCTGTAGCAGTTTTTAGCTCAAGAGCCCAAACTTTCAAGTAGTTTGGTGGTAATCCATGAAGCAATTAAATCATAGCTATAATTTTGGTAAGTAATCTCTCATCTTCTTTTATGTGTTGTCAACCACAATCACCTTAAAAGAACATACATAATTCTACTGGTGACACTCTGATGAAGCATATCCTCCACTAACCTGTACTGTGTGCCACGGAGATTCCAAGTCCAACGTGACTACCAAGTATTAGAAGATCATGGCAACATCTTCAAATAGACATGCCATGCAAAGAAGTGATTATAAAGCATCCTTCATTGCTTGTTAAACAATAATATAAATCAATGATACTATTGTTTGAAACTATGGTATCCCTGAGTTACTGTGGCTTTGTTTTTCTCAGGGAAAAAATGTTATGTTTACAGTTAAAAAAATATATATATATGCCCTGTTTCAGGGTTTTTCTTCTTGTTTTTGCTGCTGTGCTCCCCACAAAGGCATTCTTTTCTGAAGCAGATGTTTGCATTGTAGAAACAAGCCTTCTTAGGAAGCTTTTCGTTCTCCAGAATTTGTCATGCGGGGAGAGTGTGCTGATGATCCTGGCATACTGCAGGGATGGCAAATTAGTTTCATTTTAGGGATCATCTGACGGAAAAGCAAGGACTGCAGGGAGCTCTATCTTGAGAAAGACAGGGATCTGGCTGATGAAGAAACTGCCATCATTTATCAGAGCTGTTTGACACAGGCGTGGAAGTGAGAATGGTGGCATACATGCTGCCAAGTTAACTTCAAGAACTTCGTGTGAGGGGCAAAATGGGGGTCTTTAAATAGTCACTACTAATGAGGCAATTTGGAGATTAGGTCAATAGGAGAAGTTGATCCTTGATGGATCTATGAAAAATAAAGTGATCTAAAAGAAATCACTGTTAATGTTTTTCTCTGAGATTTGTCCAGATTTAAACTTTCACAAACATTTTAAGTAAGGTGATCTGGTGGCAAGCTTTCCAGATATTCAGTGATGACTTTATTTCAGTTTGGTTGTGAATCAGAAAGAACTAATTCATCACTAGCATATTTTATACACATAGTTTATGAGTCCTATGAGATTCACACAAGAGGCAGCAAAGAAGTATTTTTAAATGGATGCATATTTGGCAATTACATAACTGTTTTGATGAAATCTTCTACGGAGTTAGGATACAGGTAGAAATCTGGAAATCCAGTTAACGTGTTCTGGAAGATACCTTTATAATAGGGCTTTCACTTTGTCTTCAGGGCTGTGAATTTTTTTTTTAAGCTCTAATAATGAAGTTTACTTGGTATTATTGCTGAACATCTCTAGCTAAAAAAAGAAAATATTAGCTTCTTGTAAAGTTGCTCCTTACCTGTTTTAGAAAATAGTAGAACTCTTAACCAATTCTATCTGCCTCCTGATGAGAACATAAATGTTACTCAAAACACCTAATTTCATCAACAGTCAACAGTTCAAGTCCTACACAGTTATCCATGTACTTACTGAATTAAGACA